AAAATATTTGGGAAGTCGTAGAGCAAATTCTTCACCCTCTGGAAGAAGGTCATGTGGTCTGTGTGGTCCGTAAATAGCCTGGGAACGTAGGAAGGGGGTTTGGGGCACTGAGTGGCTTCAAAATCCAAACCACAGGGGATTCCTCGGAGGAAATACACGGAGGGAAGGGAAAGATGCTCTGCCAGGATCGGCCCACAGGGTATGACAGGGTCTGTAAGGATGGCATCGAACTGGCTCTCCTCAAGGTACTTGATGAGCTCTTGGTTTTTCAGGAGCTCTTTGCAGCTGGCGACTCCAAAGGCAGTGATTCTTTTTATCCCTTCATACACTTTAAGAAATCGAGACAGGAAAGATCCTTCTTCAAATGAAATATGAATAAATTCCTGTAATTCTTTCTCTATCTCTTCCTGTGTGTAAGGCACCGGGTACATTTTCATCACAAAGTTCTTGGATGGTTTGATGTACAAAGTGACTTCAGGGGCGACCACAACCACCTCGTGTCCCTTCTGCCGGAGACTGTCCAGCACCTCCCTCATGCTGAGCCAGTGGCTCCCGTCCACTGGCACCACCAGGAGCTTCCCACCCACAGCCAAACCCAGCAGGGACAGCAGCACCACCAGCCTGGCTGTGACTGCTGGGGGAGCACTGAGCCCTGAGGCCATTCCTGCACAAACCTGATGAGAGCCTCCAAGGAAGAACCTCCCCAGCTCGGTGTTTTTAAGCCATCTGGGCCACGCTTTGTCCGGGTGATCTGTCATGTTATTTGCTGTTTGGTCAATGTATAATCATGGACGGGGCAAAGATGGAATAAGGGGTGTTAAAGTTCAGCCAGTCTGGCAGATACGGATCAGGGCAGCAGGTCCCCTGGAAAACACCCCCCTCTGTGCATTGGAGGAGCCCTGGGTTTGCAGGAATGCCCTCTGGTTGGGGAGAGAGGGGGGCAGCGAGTCCAAGGTGCAGCTGGAGCTGAATTTGGCACTGGATGCAAACAAGGAGGGCTTCCACGGGTCCATTACCAGGAAAGGAAGGTCAGAGGAAGTGTATCCCCCCCCCAAGCCAGACTGGGAAACTGGAGACGATGCACAAGGAGAAGCCTGTGAGACTCTTTTTGCTTTAGTCTTCACTGGCAACCTCACTGCCCTCATGTCTGTATTGGAACAGATATAACTTTCCTAATAATTTTCTAATGAACTGGTTTAATCAATCACAAGCAATGTCATTTCCCACTCTATCATGTGTCACTGTAGCCAGCATTTAACAAGGTTTGCCACAAGCTGCTCTTGTGGGAACACAGTTTGGGAAAATTACTGGATTTACCTTTTGCTAAAGCAACTGGATATGCTTGGAAACGATCTCAGACCTAGAGGGAGGTTAACAAAGCCTGGGAGAGAGAGATTGCTCAAACTGGACACAAGAAATGCAGAATTTATGGACCACAAGGTTGCAGAACCACAAGACAAAGAAGAAACTAACCAAGACAATTCAGCATTTGTACTGAACCCCTCCCTATCTGGGAAAAAGATAATGAAAAGACTGAAAAATGTGGGCTAATTAGGATGAGAAGCAAGACATCAGTAACAAATAGAAGATAGAATACTAATTAATGAAGGGAATTGTGTAATTTATAGCCAATGAACATTAATTTCAGCAACAGATGGACACCAAGATGGGGCTGGGGGAGGAAAACCCCACCCTCTGTAAGAGAAGCTCAGGTTCATGACCACCTGAGGAACCCAAACATGCACTTGGGTCATCCCCCAAACACACAGGACCCCATATTCCCAGAGTCCTGAGGGAATTGCCGAGCCACTCTCCAGAATATTGGGAAAGTCATGGTGAAGTCCCAACTGACTGGGAAAAGGGAAACACTGCACCCGTCTTTAAAAAGGATAGAAAGGAGGAAGATCATGGAACAGACCCTCCTAGGAGCTATTCTGTGATTTAAGGAAACGAGGGATCCTTCAACAAATCTGCTCAAAACACAACATTGATTTTCCAAAGCACAATTTTCAGCCTAAGGAAATTCCTCCCCCTCCTGCCAGTCCATACCGTTTCTATTTGTAAAAAGATTAGAAAAAATATTTAAGCTTCACGTGGGAAACGGGCTGGTTTTTTTCAGCAGTTTTATATCGTGACACTGCAAGGAAAATGGAGAATTGGCCCTCACGGTTCATTACCCTGAAAAGCCTTTTGTTGGAAGGATGAAGTAGGGGCTGGGAGGGGGAAGGACATGGGGATGGCTTTTGCCAGCTACAATTATAATTGACTTAACCATTTTAGATCAGTCTGGGAAGAGTTTGCCCCAGGGCCATGAAAGCAAACCACATAAATGCACAGGCAGGATCTGCAGACAAGCCCTAATTAGGAAAATTACGGCACAGAACTAGTTTTGACAATAGGATAATTTACTACGGAGGTTAATGAGTATTTTTAAGGACATTTCTCAAACTACTGCAGCTCCCTTTGTAGGGAAACTTTTGGGAAGGCAGCAGATGCAGATACAGAGACCAGAACATTATCTACCAACTGATGAGTTATGATGCTTCATTTCTCAATTATTTATGGGTGGTTCCAGCAATCAAAAGGATTCGTTGTTTTTAAAAGTCGATTGTGACAGGGAAACAAATAGTTTGAGTTAATAACACTTATCTTTAAATACCTGCTAAGACAGGGATCACCCTCACTGGTGGGTCTTGCCTCTTTACTGCAGTGATGAACTACTCCCACCTAACCCACAAAAACCAATTGTGAGAACAAAAATGCTCAGATCCTGCTAATTCTGTAGAAAGTTACCTGCAGGAGTGAGAGAGAATTAAAACCAACCCAGTTTTTAGCCTATTTCTTTGCCTATTTCCCCTATTTTCTTTGCCTTTACAGTAAATAGATTTATGTTGTATAAACCTCACAGATTCACACACACGATTATTTACACACAGAGCACTCGCAAATTGCATTAAACATTAATTATTTTATCCTGGAAGTCACTGACCTGAGACAAGGGCTTTTTCTTTCCACAGTTTACACCTCCAATAAAAACTATGTTGGGCATCGCTGGCATGGGGTACTCAAAAACAAAAATCCATCCTTTTAAGCCAAATGGATCCACGGCTTAAGAGCCCCTTCATTGTTACTGGTCTGCCAAGAACCTCCGAGGCCAGGAGTTCAAACGGCAAATAGGCAAAGAAAGGACTCTGATGCCTTGAGGATGAAGTTTTCCACACGCTGGAAAAACGTCATGTGGTCGGAATTGTCCATAAATATTCTCGGGAGGTAGGAAGGGGGGTCTGGGCACTGGGCAGCCCGCAAATCCCAACTGCAGGGAAGCCCCCGCAGGAAGAACACGGAGGGGACGGAGAGATGCAGGGCCAGGATTTGCCCACAGGGCACGACAGGATCCGTGAGAACAACATCGAATTTACCCCCTTCCAGGTATTCCGTCAGATCCCGGTTGTGCAGCAAACTCCTGCAGATGAGCTGGGCTTTTCCACGGAGCGCAGCGAGTCTTTGGAGGAAAGCTCATTCCCGAAGGAGCGCACGTGTTCCCTCAGCTCTTCCCTGGTTAAGGGCACCGGCTACGTTTGGAGGGTGTAATACTGGGATGGCTCCACGTTCAGGTTCCCCTCAGGTGCCACCGTGAGGATTTGATGCCCTCTCTGGCCCAGGGCCACCAACAGCGAGCGCAGGCTGAGCCAGCGGCTCCCATCCATGGGCACCACCAGCACCTTCCCACCCTTGCCAGGCACAGCAGGGCCAGGGACACCCAGATCCCCGCGGGGACCGAGGCGCTGCCACCACTCCCAGGAGCCACGACCCTAGAAATCCCAACTCTGCCCAGCCC